ATATAATATAATATAATATAATATAATATAATATAATATAAATATAATATAATAATATAATATATAATAATAATCGTATCTCTCTTCTCTTCCCAAATTGTCCACTTTCGTGCACAATATGAGCGTCGATTAGGGCGAATTTACTGTATCACGATTGGAAATAGGAAATCAAATAACAAATTACAAAATTGTTGTCGTTACATCAGAGATTATGATAAACGAAATGGTCGCCGCCAGACGATGAAAATGAAAATCCAACCGTTGCAGCATCGAGTGCATTAAGATTCGATATTTATGAGAAATAGATAACGTAAAAACGAAAGATAATTTTTCCCACGCTATTTTATCATATTATTATGCAAGATTAGAAGCCTTAGTCGCGTTGCCCCAGCTATACGTACCGGCTCCTATCTCGATTTTCGAACCACCCCATAGATACATCGGCAACATCTGGGCCGCTTATGCGAATGGAAACGCGAACGGTTATGGACTAATTCTGAGAAACTGGTATCGGAGTTTTGTTTACAGCAGCGTCGAGCGGTTCGCAACGTTGCAGACGAAATAACAAAAAAAGTTCGTCGTCGGGTCGTCGACCGTTACGAATTATGGCAGTCTCGTAGCTAACGTACTCTATTCTTGCTTCGCGGTTGACAAATTCTCCGTCACGAGTATACTCGTCGCGACACAAAATACTGCAATTTCTCCGTGACGAGTATACTCGTCGCGACGCAAAATGCTACAATTTCTCTGTGACGAGTATACTCGTCCTGACGCAAAATACTGTCACTTTTCCGTGACGAGTATACTCGTCGCAACGCAAAATACCGCAATTTCTCCGTGACGAGTATACAAAGATCTGTTGCAAAAAGTCTCGCAGTTCGTATAATTGAGAAAAAAAAGAGTTATCTCATTGTTTGACCGACGACCCACTTGTGCTGGACGGCTCGCGAGAAATTCGATGAAATAATAAACAGTGCGCAGAAAATTCGGCGGCGAAGGTGTTGATGCGCTTCCGATCGTTGTACCACGACGGATAGGCAGCGTGTGCTCATTATACACATTAGATTGGATCTATAGCCGTGCAGCGGCTCGTAACGCGACACGCGTTTCGCGAGGCTTTAATCGTCAATTAAACAAGCCACGCGTCGTCGCCACGATAATTTCGTCGATCGAAACACTGTTGCCGCGTTATCGAACGCGCGTTCTCGTTCAAGGAACCGTTCGAAACCGTTTCGAATGTTTTCGTATGCAACCGGAGGTCGATACACAGAGCCTATTGAATTTTATTTAAATTTTATTTTTTTGAATTTTAGTTTGCGATCAACGTAGGTGACATTGCCCCAAAACGTTGCCCATACAGTAGTTTACGACTTTATTCCAGAAAAGTAGGAGGAGGGGGAGGGGGAGAATTACCCATCACAAATGGGATTGGACGATATCACTCTGCAGCACATGTCGGAGCAGTCTCCGAAAATGCTCTGTATCTGTCACGTGCAGTTAAGGGTAGTGAGGGGGGGGGGGTTCATTCAGTTCGAACCAAATACCAGTAATTTTCCATATAAAATTTCGAAGAACTATATTTCTATAGTATCTTTCACGCAGAATCGAATTGTAAATAACTCTCCAATTTCCCTTTTCGAGTAACAAAATCAAATTTCTTTCGCGAACAAATTATCAGATCGCAAAATCCATGCGCAATTTTCTTCGATATGATATGCACAAATCGTAGTAAAAATTTCAATGCATTGGATTCAAGACGATCCAAAATCCCAGTGGCAATTATTTTTAAAAAAAAGGTGTTGCCAAGTAAAACTGAAACGTCTCCCGTTCTTCGTCCCCAAAACGAAAATTTCGCGCGCGAGCGAATCGCGACTTTGCGCCGAGCCTCTGCGCCAAAAGCACTCTGAAAAGTTGCCGGAAAGTCGAGCCCACGATTATTCGCGGGATCCATAAAAATGCCCGGACAACCGTGATTTCGAACGATAAACTCTCGCTGGGAAGTTCGCTAATTCCGCCGGCGCGGCGTTCGTTGGAAAAAACGATCGGATAGTGCTCGCCGACGCGCTGCAGTATTTGAAGAAAATCGCCGAAATCAAAATGGTTTCTCGGCTGTCGACGCGCTCCGGCGGATCAATGTTTCGGCCGTAGGCAGGACGCGCCGATGGCCGATTCCGAAGCGCGTCACGTGTGCGAGCGAGAAAAGAAGTCTGGCAGGAAGCGAGAGAGAAGAGAATAGAATAGAAGAGAAGAGAAGAATCGGTATTAATTTCACAGTCTGTTCTTCGCAAACATCTGCGCAACAACGAGCTCGCCTAGTGGTTGACTTAATTAATTGAACTCTCCGCGGGAAGTTACGCGGGCATGACCACGTTCCGTCGGCCAAAGAGTTCTTCTTCTCTCGCTTCGAAACTTCGCCGGCCGCCGGGAGACTTCGTTTCTCGGTTGCCGCGTGCGCAACTTCTCGCCGGTTGCGCCGGATGCGCGGTGGGGAGGCCGAGTGGTGGGGAGGACGAGTAATATTAGCCGGCATTTATCGTGGAACCGTCGGAAATCGAACAGTTTCCGAAGCAATGATCTCGGTTCGAGGCGCACCGTTCTTCTAATAATTATGAACAAACAATCGTAGGACAATTGCTCGACAACGAAAACGTCGCTTTAATTTATTTCCCATCGATCCATACGGTTTGCAATTTTCGCAAGGCGAAAAGGGATTCTTTTCGAAAGGGGTCCGAATATTTCGGCGACCGTGTACCCGAAGCATCGAGGTCGCTGTTGGAAAACGAAGCGAGGGAGGAGGTAAGGAAAATAGGAGAGACCGGGAAATAAGGAAACCGGGAGATCGATAAGCGCAGAATTTCGACGTCGTGTCGCGTCGCGTCGGATCGAAAACCGTTGTCGTTCGTCCAGTGATTGAGCCAAGATTTGGCACACAGCTTATCGGAATGCCGCCGACCGAGAATAGTAACGCACCTAGCGACTGTCTGTGCCTGACAGTGGTTCTCTCTGGCTCTTTCGTGCGCCTACACGGTGGAACGAATCGGAACCGGTCGTTATTTTTTTCTTCGACGCGCTCGCCGTCGAACCAACCGTGTACATACATACAAAGTTGCCACGAAACCGTGGCAATTTAGCCGGCGTTACGCGAACCGGCAGGCGCGAGATTTATAGCCACCGATCGCTCTTCTCCGTGCTCCGTGTGCATTCTCGCGCATCCCTGGAACACGGCTTGAGTGTCTCGATCGCGCGAATTAATCGGCTGGATACGATCGTTTCGATGATGGAAATGTTGCCTGGTTTCTCGGCGAGATTAAATATTGATTGATTTGTGTAATAAATACAAGCGTCGCGTATGGACCGACTCGGAGGCTGCTGTTTATTTTGCGAAACGTGGATAATATAAAGGATTTTTAGGTAGCAGGGTTGGATAATCGAAACGAGTGAAATAATGTAATCGAGAAACGAAGCTTTGAACAGTTAGCTGTGTCGCGACGAGTATACTCGATATCGTTTGATTTTCGCGACACATGCAGGACACGTATAAATAAATAATTTCATACGATTTGGAAAATATCTGAATGAAATTAGAAATGCATTAGTTGAATCGATCGATTTGTTTACTTTCTCAGAATTAGTTGCGTACACTGTTCCAACTGTTTCTATCTTTACGCGCGCGTATCTGTCGCCGTTACTCTGGGACACTCTGTATATACGATACGTTGCTTCATTCATACTTTATAGCACATACATATACTACCATACGTGAAAGCTTTCCTTCTCGTCGCGCGTCAGATCGTCTTCGTTTCTTGTTATTCGTTTTGGATTAATTTTCTTTCTTCTTTGAAACCAGTTCTACCGGGCGGTCTTTCAATTCCGAACGCTCGCGATGATGTAACGCGACGTAATTGTAATCGATGTAACCGTATTTAGACATCGACGATCCTCTTAAGATCCTCGAATGCTGTGAACTTGAAAAGTTTGTTTCCGCAACGTGAAATATCGATGTTTCAACCGTTCGCACTCCGTCGAAACTAATGAGAATAATTATGAATTATTTTCTTTTTTGATTATATGCAGACTTTTGCTCGCATCCGAGCCGTTCGCGTCGATTACGACGAAAAGAACGGAGAAAGAAAGAAATTGAAACCATTTCATAGCAATGCTCGCAATATGAACATGAAGAGAACGTTCAATTAAAAATTTTATTAAAATTTTATTTCAATCGAATTGAATTGAATTGAAGAGAAAAATTGCATTTTTAAAAAGTTCGTTTACAAATATTTAAAACGCTGCATTTTGTTTCCATTACTATTCTAACCCAACAAAAACCCAAATACAAGCATCGATAATATAAAATGCAAACGTAAGGCTTGAAATACATAATTTTAGTTGTTACACGTTTCCGTCCGCTTTTTGTGCGGAAGCCGAGCACCGTGGAACGCCTCGATCAAAGAGATAAAACGAAGCTTACAAGTGTATTCAGTATTTCGCCGCTTGTTGTCTCCTAAGCGTTGTAAGCGCACGATCATCGGGACAGGTGCAACAATCTTTTTTCGAGTCGTTGTTCATCACGTCCGCTAAATATTCCATAATTCATGAATGCGAAGCCAACGAATCGCGCGCTCGCCGGCCGGTAATCGGCGCGTAGAATCTGGCAATTAGCATGTCGAAGCCGCGGGAAAGAAACACACGCAGGGACACGAGGTCCGCGCGCCGCGTGTATCGATCCTCGAATAAAGAATCTATGCCCGCGACGCGCAACCTGAAGCGAAGCGAAGCAAAGCGAAGCGAAACGAAGCGAAGCGAAGCAGGGCCGGTCATGCGCCTTGGTCTCGAGAGCCCCGAGCCTCGAGTCTCGGCCTAAATAATGCCGCACACGCGATCGCGGCCCGAACGTAAACAAACAGAGTTATATAAAAGAGATAATGCATCGGAGAGGAGGCTGGACGGCATTATCGAGCGAGCCACCCATAGAAAGTCATAAAAGTCTGTTTCTTTCGCAGATAACGCCTTGCAACACACCGGCCACGCCGCCCAATTTCCCCGACGCGCTACTCGCGTTCTCCAAAATGTCCGCCGGAGAAAAAACTCCCTCGGGTAAGTCTCACTCTAATTACTGCTGCGCGAGGAACCCCCTTTGTTCCGACGCCATCGTCGTCGCACTGTACGCTGTTCGTTCTTTCTGGCCGCGTCTCCCCCACTCTCTCTCTCTTTCTCGGTCGCCGAGCGTCTCCGAGACCCGCGCTGCGTCACCGAATTGTTGCGCGTCTATTGCTCTCCACGAAATGTCCGATTTTTGTCCGGGCACTTTTACCGATAATACAGAAGAAATATTCGTCGCGACGTTATCGATATTTTCTGGCAACTTTTTTTTCCCGGTTTCCTTGTTTCGTTGTAATGGTTTTTAAACGCGTAAACGGTGTACAACTTTCCGAAAAACCGCGTGCAATGAGAGGCGAGGTCGACTGACGCGGCGGCCGAGCCAACGAGCGGTCGAAGCCCGGTTACGCTGATTGGCTCGGCCGTCCAGCCGAGCTCGCCTCTCATTGGTCAGCGTTTTTCGTTTAATAACTCATAAACGAAGCCTCGTAAAGCATTTTCGCTAAGGAAAAAGTTACTTCAAATCACCTTGGGAATCACTCCGTTCCGGGTGTTGACGTAATTGTGTGATACCCTGTATTTTCAAGCACGAATTCAGAACCGGTATTATTTTGCTATCGATGCTATACTAACTAATGCTGAAACTGAAACGTAAACGCAATTGTTGCAATGCGAAGTCAGTGTAATTACCAGCATGTTCGTCTATGTATCTTATTCTATCAAAGCACATCGATATTTTAATAAATTTTAATCAATTTTAATATTTTAATTTGTATAAATTAACAAGTCTTGTAGACGATCTTATCAGTATGTTCTGTGCAATATATATATTTCGGTTTCGTTGGTTGTTTTTTTTTTAATATAAATGCATATTATATAAATGTAAATTGTATAAATTTTCGTAACATAATATGTATTTATTTTATTGGTTTACACTTTTTCATATCGTGTCTCCACCGTATTTCTTTTATGCTCATAATTTTATGCTAATAATATATATAATAATAATAATAATATATATATAATAATAATATATAATCGATTTTATATCGACGAAATATGATATTCGTTTTTACCGTTCGAAGTCGGGCATTTCGTGTGCAAACAGAGTCCGCGTTTCCATGGGACACCGTAAAGCGTGTGAAAGAGACATGCTTAAATAGAGGAGACGGTCTGAATATGGGCTTGATTGCGGTGGGGTATCGAGTCGCGCGTCACGTGCGTCTAACCGATCGAGACCGAGATAAAAGTACGGTTTACGGCCGAAAGAAGGCGTCACAGGAGAAGGTAGAGTGACCCGCATTCGCATTGTTTACACGTCGCGTCGCGGAAACGGTTATCGGAACGCTTCTCAGATAAATTCGGTTCCATCGTCTGCTCGATGATAATCTGCAACAATAAACCGGACGTTCCTTAGGGAAGATCGTAGGCGATCGCTCGCTATTTTTATTTCTCGACCGAACCGTTCGAACGAACGCCGCGATATCGATACGTACACTCGACGCGAAATAGCGGTCATAGTTATATTCGGAGTGACGCAACAAACGTTTCCTGCGGAGGAATGTTCCGATTTTCCAGTGAATTCGCGTATTCGACGAACGCGAATTCGCGCATCGTCGTCGTCGAACGCGCGCTCGGCACTCGTCATCGTGTTTCGCTGAACCTCGCGCTTTATTTTCACCGCCGGTGCTTTCCCTTCGACGTAGAATTAGAGTCCGTGCTTCTTTCGCGCATGCCAATCGATTCGGAAGAACGGAGGGAAATCCATGCTTTTGATGCTTCGGCAAATGTTCTAACTGTGCCGGCTGTTCCAGCCGTTTAACGAATCGGAACATCGCCTAGCAATTCGCCATAAATCATTAGAAACGTCCGAGAGAGGTGTCCTTAGAGTTTCGCGGCACGCTCCGGTTGTTTCCTCGAAATTACTTTTAAGCGATGCGAAATGAAATTAAGTGTTCGTTCGTTGTTGTCTCGCGCATCGCTTGAAAGTAATTTTCTGGAAACAACTGCAGCGTTGCTCCGGAGTTGTGCGTCCTCCTTTATTTATTTATAAATCTGCTTGTTAGTAATTTATTTATTTATACATTTATTTATTGTATTAACCCTTCGCACTCGAGCGGTGACTCTGAGACACCGCTAAAATTTGTTATATCACCTTTCAAGATAATTTTGATATTAACAAAGTTTAGATTTTAAAAATTGTTAAGAGCGTAACTGTTGCGCGAGTCCCAATTATCAATTTCATATGCATAAAATATACATTTTGTCGCATAAAGTAGAAATATTATAAGTTAGAAAAATAATTTTATATTTTCAGTTAAAACAGCTTCGAGTGCAAAGGGTTAATGATTTATTTATTTATTTATTCATAAATTCATTTATCGACAAATAAACAGTAAAACGTGAACATTGAATTCAGGAAATGGATTCGACGCTTCGAATCGACGAGCAAAGGAACCGAAACAATAAATGGAACTCCGGAGAAGCCGCTAATTATGTACACGCTCGTCAAGTTTGCCAATCCGAGTTACAATCGTTCGGATTCACACGGCCGCATCGTTTGCTCGTCGTTGTTACAAAACGTTAACGACGGCGGAGATATTGTATAACGTAACCGTAAAATTGTTCGAGAGCCGTGGGCACTCGTGTTTTCTCGTGCCAGAACAAGATAATTAAAGGGTTTCAAGGATAAAGCCGTTGCGTAATCATTTTTATGAAAATTGCCGCGTCGATCGTTGCGGCGGTTTTCCGTAACCGGGGCTTTGTTCCTTGCAACAATATTGCGCCAGATCGAATCTACATAGAATAGTCCTCGAAATCGGCTCAGTTTCGAAATATCGTTGCTTTCCGCAATTAATAGCTTTCGCGAGAAATAACACAAAAATAACATAACATATTTTGTCAATTGATAAATTAACGCTCGAAGCATCGTAAAACGTTCCGAATCGGCGGAGAAACGTTTGCCCTTGATTTTTTGACCTGCTCCTCGAGACCGTAAACATTCCACCAAGAGAGACCGTCTCGGCTAGAAAAGCTAATTTAACACGTTCGGCGGCCAATTTTTGACCAATTGAAAATTCATTTTCATTGTAATACAGGCTGTCCCAAAAATGTCTCGCGATCCGAAAGTGGCGGGTTCCTCGGGTCAATCGAAGCAACCTTTTCCTTTACAAAAATGTTCTCCGAGGCACCGTTAACGAGTTATCGACGAAAAACGGTGACCAATGAGAGGCTAACTCGGCTGGCGCGAGGCGACCGAGCCAACGAGCGGAACCGGGCTTCGCGCGCTGGTTGGCTGGGCCGCCTCGCGTCGGCTGTACTCGATCCTTATTGGTCACTGTTTTTCGTTGATAACTCGTTAACGGTGCCTCGGAGAACATTTTTGTAAAGGAAGAAGTTGCTTCAAATGATCCGAGGAACCCGATAATGATTGCGAGGCATTTTTGAGACAGAATGTTTCGGACGCGAAGGAGTTCTCTAATATCATCTACTATGATAAATTTTAACTTCCTAGTTTCGGTTTGATGAATTAAATTGCTTTGATTTTATAGGAATTTTACACGCGTGCGTCGTAAAGAAAATATTAACGGACAATTTTATCGATCTCCTCTATCTCTCACGGAGCCGATCGTTTCGGCGAACGAGAAAGAGAGAGGGAGAGACTGTAACGAAATAACCGTCTTAACAGAGAGTACACAATGATTCTTGTTTCGGTGGCGCGAGCAGGAGAGCAGCAGCAGTAGTTTGTCGGGCGGATTCGGTCCGCTTCGAGAAACCGAAGAGCGCTCCGGCGGCCGTTGAAAGGGGAAGTTAAACAAAAAAGTTTCGTTGTCGGTTACAGGCATGTCCCCGAGCCAGAACGGGTTGCATCAGAACTCGATGCAAATGGGCACCGGAGCGCCGCATCACGGTGGACGGTGTAGCGTGACCGGGAACGCGCAACAACAGGCGCAAAGTCAACAACAGTTCGGTTTAGGCGAGCCGCAGAGATAAAAGAAGCTGGCCAGTCGGCGGCCCGTGCGCGAGATCCCGAGGTCGTTATGCGAGATGCACTTTTAACGGCGTTCAAAAAAAAAAAACAAAAACAACACAAAACGAGGAGACATGGTTTACAGAAAAGATCGCGACTGCTCCCAGGGTAACACGCGCTGCGGTGACGCTAGCGAGCGATTTATTCGACGAGAGATTCATTCGATGCGCTCGTTGCTCACCGAATTTTTCCTCAACGACAACAAACAGCTATAACAATAACGACGACGACGACGACAACAACAAGAAAGGACAGCAACGGAAGGACGCAAGATTCGCATCGAAGACGCGCGCGAGAAGACCACACCTCCCCCCCCCCTCCTCCTAACCTCGTTATAGAAGCGAATCGGATTTTATTTGGCGCGCGCGTTGAGAACTATAGACGAAGGGATTTCCGTTCAAATCGGACCGGCATGTTCGCCGAATTCACGTTGTCGCGCGGGACACGTGGATATCTCCGGTTAGAGCTGCTGGTTACGCGATCCTCGATTGTGTGTTTGTTTATTCTTTCGACGGTGCGCCGCGTCGAATACGGCAGCGGTTGCGCGTGACCGCCGAGAGAGCCCCTCTCGGAACCATTTATCTTCCGTCGGCAAATACGCGTGCGACAGGCGATCCATAGACGCAGGACGAGAGAGAGGGTGGAGGCGCTGTAAAAGACTCTATTAATACTTCTTTGTTCGTTTAATTACTCTCTGTCTCTCTCTCTCTTTCTCTCTCTCCCCCCTTTTGAACGCACTCTACGGGACGGTAGTTCCTACAATTATGAAAGACAGCGATACTCTCCTTTAGCGTTTATGGAAATTAGTATGCGTCCAGAGACATCATCGCCGCTTGATTGTGAATGAGTAGCGAGAAGCCTCCTCCACCGTCCCGGGTATCTTCCTCGTTGTTTCTCGATCTACAGGCTCGCGGCTAGATAGGAAATGTTTCTTGCGGTCCCGTGAACCGCGGAAGTCAATGAGAAATTCAATATCACTTCCACACATACATACATACATACATACGCGCGCGCGTACACACGTGCGTACAATACGTACACGCGACCACGTACACGTACACACATCATAGTACAAAAGATCTCCGGCACTGGATAGGGCGATTAGCGACGAATTAACGTTTAGCTTCTTATTTTGTTTGAAAGATCGCGCGCGAACATTTAGACGTGTCCGTGCGTTTGCGATTCGATACTACTGATATACACGTCCGATTGCGTGTCGACGAAGAGCTTCTAACGAGAAACTTGTATGCTTTGACGACGATCGTGCTCGATCGAGAGGTGTCATTGTTTCTTTTTGTTTGTTTGTTTGTTTTAACGAGAGCTGAACTGCCCAGCGAAAAACAGAGCGAATGGAATAAAGTTAAGAAAACCAGGAGCAAAAGTAAGGAACGACGCGAGGCTAAAAATATATGGTAAACGAAGAAACTATCGCGAATTATAATTATGTAAAAAAAATTGTAAAAAAGAATTTATCGATTACGTAATCGTCCATTTAGATGTATTTATGTAAAGTTATTCGAACTGAACGAAAGGAAGAAAGAATGTGTAAACTTTCAATCATGATTAGTGTTAACATACACACACACATACATACACACACATACACCACAGAGAGAGAGAGATGACTTGCTCAGATAGTATCCAGTGTAGGTCATTTTTTCTACTGGGAAAATAAAAGAGCAGTGGAGCCATTGGTTAGCTGAGCTGTTTCATCGTCAATTGAACTCACAACTTAGGATTACGAGAATTAGATGATTTCGTACTGCCTGTTACGCGCGCGCGCGAATTGATTTTCATCATCGTAGATATTTCATTATTGTTCACAGAGAAGATTCGTGTGCGACAGGCTTTGCGTGATTCACCTCCGACCAGAATAACGATTCAATAAAAATGAAATGTTTTCTTTTTCTCTCTCCTTTCTTTTATTGTTTTTCTTTTTCTTCTTCTTCTTAATTTTTTAAACGACTCGTTTTCTTTTCCACGATAGACTATATTTAATCTCTCGCGAACCCGTCTCTACTATTCGTAATTAATTTAAGGAAGACGGTGGACGACGACGATGCTTTTAACCGCGAATAGAACGTCTGGTTCGAACGTTCGTAGATATGATTTCGATCATGGTTGTTCGCAGCAGCAGCATCGTTCTACCGCGCGCGATCAACGTTACACAATCCCGACGAATCTAAGAAACACTGTGATCAGTACGTAACCTAATTTTCACGGATGAAATAGTTCAAGTATTCGAGTTTCGCTGCAGCTTCATCACTATTGCATTCATTTATGTAAATACGATAGATAAATCGTCGTACCGGAAACAGGTATGACAAAAAGATGTTTTTTCTGTAAGGTATACGCTTTAATATCTTCCTTTGTGTTTGTAATGTATGGACCAGTGTCTCGTAATATTTTCACAAGAAAATATAGTTTATGTGTTATATACATATATTATATATACGTGTATATATATGTATATGCACACACATATTTGTATATATATATATGTATATCTATATGTGTACGCATATTTGTATGTATATATATTTTTATTGTTGTGACCTGATTGTAAAATGTGTATATGTATAAAAAAAAGAAGAAAGAAGAAAATTGTTGTATTTGGAGCGATACGATGTTTGTTTTAGAAAATATTTTTCGTTCGTCTAGACGGTATAGAAATTTCGGAACACTGGTCTCGACTATTATGAAAATACTATTACGTTTAAAACTCATTATTATTATTATTATTATATTATGTTATTATTATTGTTCATTTTGGCTATCAATAATAATAAACAATGTTCATGTACATAATTTTGAAAAAATGATCTAAATAAAACATTAATAATGGTGCTTTCACAGACTTTCATATACATCATTTTTATCGAACATTTTTGTCTTATTCATTCCTGTGCTTTCGTTCTCCGAACTTTTACGGAAAATTTGTTTATAAAGTTTATTAGAAATCCTGTTATATACAGAGACAATACAGTTAATCGCTGTGCCGATAAATACAAATACAGGTGATATGATTTTAACTATCGTGTAATTGTATAAATTATAGAACCGAAGCTATACAACAGTTGGTATTTTCGCGTTACGATAATGGTAACTTATTGTTATCACTTTTTTTTTTGTTACAAAATATTACGAAGGACTAGTCATTCCATAAAATATTACTATACATTATATATATCTTTATATGCAACACTATTCGCTACATTCGCGTCGGGTGCATAGAAAATATATTTACAATGTATACTTAGTGTACAGGATGTTCTTGTTATTATTGTCTAGTATTTTGGTAAAAAGAATTCGCTACAATCTTTTAAACGGACTCGAGACAACGTTTCATACTTGTAATACTGAAAGATAATTTTAATTGTCTTTTTTTTATGAACTACGTCAAATCTTCTTGCGTTATTTTATCTTTTGTACATTTACAAACAAATAGTAACACGAGCATCCTATTTAAAATTTCAGAAAAAGATGAGAACCTTATGTTCTGGAAGTCTTTTATGTTTCCACGCCTCTACCTAATCCAGACCACCTGTCTGGCACCGGCAAGAAGTACCGGTGCATAGCTGCTATGAAACGGGCTCGATATTCTTCGGGCGATATTATCGTCGGCAATTTTCCTTGGCCGCCTAATATACCTGATTTCTTCAACATTGTCTCCAATTTTTTGTCCCACGTGAAAGTTCGTATATAATCTGTAAATGGATCACGATTTTATGAAAATTATCTGGAGTCTGGAGAGAAACGACCATATCACAAAACTTTACCTATTATGCCTAACACAAGCTCATCCGAATTTGGTTCCAAACCAACTAGCAATGAATAGTCCATCACAGAATTATCAGCCAGGAATTTAGTGTCTTGTTCGATGGCTCTATTTAAAACCGCCTTGGAATGTGATCTGATGTAAAGGGGCGAGTCACAGCTCACTAAAAATATAATTTATTTATAACCGGTACACATTTAATGTGCTGAACATGAATGAGATATACCCACTGTTCAACAAGTTCTCGTCGAGCAATACAAGTTCACCCTCGTGACACATGTCGACAGGATTCACCAGCCGATTCCTCACGGACCCCTTCAAATCGAATTTGTCCGTTATAGTTCTATTGTAAAATAAATTCTCCATCACTAACAAGCACATACGGCGAAGCGCTGCATTTGTCGTATTGTTTTTAAAGGATACACTGTAAACACCCACGATCTTTCCCAGTAAGGTTGGTTGTTTGGTTTGCTGGCACTTTTCCATGTAGGCAAAATAGTTCGGTCCGAACTTCAGAAATATTTGCATTTCTATTTCAGACATTTGTTTTATGATAAATCTGTCATCTGAAGAAGAAGAAGACGGAACAAACGTAAGAAATATTACATATTCAAACAGACACAAAGAGCGTTTCGCTCTTTTTACATTTCATGTATAACATTTTAGAACATGTTAACAATCGGATACCTCCACTTTTGCAGAAGCTACTTCCGCTCTTTCCACCCCTTGCAGCCCATTGTATGCTTCGACTCAGGCTTCTCGTAAAACCGTCTTCGCCGCAGGTTAAAACATTCTCCCTGAGCGCAGCGAACTGTGCAGCAAAGTATATTCTGCAGTAGAAATTGGCTGTAGCGTCGTTGAATTGCACCTCGACGTAATTCTGCTGTTTGGTCACTTTCTTGTCCTCCTCTGTCTCTGACGCAGTTATTGGATTTTGCTGGTTGGAATCCATGTTCGAGACATTTTTATCAGAGTCTATGGGGCTCGCTGGATTCGGGCTGTTTCCACGGAAGAAGGATAAAACGGACGGACGCTTGAATTCCCCTGATTGCATAACCTCGGGAATGTTCTCTTTATTTTCGGGGAATTTTCGCTTGTTCAAAGGGCTCGGATTTAAATCGGGTCCTTTCATGGTGCGCATCAATTCTTGCAACGTGTGTTTATAGTCGAGCGAGTCGAGCGCGTATGCAATTATAGACGATGGCTCCGACTCGTACACCACGATAGGCACGACCGATCTGTTAAAGAAAGATATCGTTCAATACCAAACATGTTTTATCAGATCTAGTAATAATTAGTGTCGTTTCTTAATGTTCGTTTATCTGACATAATCTTGACATAACCTGTTTTTAACCTGAGCCTTGGGCACAAGTGGTTGAAAACAACGGCGACTGTATCGTTGATTAAATTGTTTTGTTTAAATAAATTAGTTTTAAAAATGTATTGGAAAACGACATTAATTATTACTAGACCAATATAAGGTTTTAACGCATGAAACGCTAAGAACACAAACGTTTCACAGATTAATAGAACATTTGCTTCTAAAGCATTACCTGCAATGATAAACTACGATATAAGCAGATTATCTTTTAATTGAATCGTACCCAAGAGGCAGTAAGTGGTGCTCCAACGAACCGAACGGATTTGGTATCGGTTGAGTGACAGGCAGAGAGGGTAGCAACTGCGACAGAATAGTTTTCTTTTTCTTCTTCTTATCCTGCATATCCTCCACGGCCAAAGGTAGAACATCGGAGTGCGATCTCTGATGCATTTTTGGAGATCCCGGTATGACAACAATCTCATCGGGATTATTGCTTTCTAATAGTTCGTTGTCCGAAGTCTCTATTCCTTCGAATCTCTGCAAATCATTTTGCACAGCAGCGATGGCGTCGACAGCATTGTAGTCAGCCGACATGGGACTTTGATCTTCGATCTGCGATTCGGAGGCAGTGTCTTCCGTGATGTATCCATCGGTGTCGATAATACTGTTGCTTCCAATCGTCAATGACCGTTCGGTGAACCTTCGTGGCCTCTCGTCCTTCTTCTTAGCAGACATCTCCAGGATCTTCGTGTTCCAAGAGAACACGACTTCGGATATCAATCGCTTAAGAATGACAATTGCGTCCTCGATTCTGAACATCGAAGTTTGAACCTGTCTCTCGGACATCTTTCCCTCGAGCTTCTTATTCTCCAACGTCGGGGACGTTAATTTCAATTGAATCTCTTCTATCTTAGTCTTGAAGTTCTGCTGATCTTTGGTCAGTTGTTGCTTCACAGCGTTTACACTGTCCACCTCAGTCTGCAGGGTTGTCCACTTCTCTCGTATAGTCGTGAACACCTCGTCCCCTTTCAACGTTAAGCTTTTCATTTCCTCGATCACGTCCGCGTGCTGCTTCGGATCATATATAATGTTTATCAGTGGCGGTGGCAAGGAGATCTCCCACTGGGATATTTTCGTATACTTGAACACGGCCAGCATGTTCTTCTTCGTGAAGTATTGGGAATGATCGTAGTGCAGCAAATGCTGGCAGGTGTCGGTGCCTCGTCTGGTGTAGGCGTTCCCGTGAAAACGTAGCTCCAGATACTTGGCGAAAGACAGGGACCAGGTGTCGTCCGACATCGGCACCACCGGTGAGACATTTTTGCATCTCATGCACTTGCTCCACATTAAAATCTGGTTGCTGTTCTCTTGGGCGAACGGCTCGGTGCTCATTTCGCTCAAGCTAATATGTATGCATCCACCGTCGTGCGCGAATCTTCGAACATGCTGGGCGATTTGTGCTCGGCACGCTGATGCGGGACACTTGTATTCGGACGTGAGACAGTAACGTTCCAGGAAACGTCCCAAGGCGATATCGTTTCTTCCGTACAAATCCATGTTGACCACCCATGGGTTCACGCAGAAGGCCGGCGTGTCGCTGCCGGTATGCGAGAAACTGCAGAACGACACCGACAAACGTTGATGACTCGCCGGGTCCAGACAGTCCGGCCACTTCGGAGCTTGTTCGCTCGCGTCGCACTGCATCGCAACCTGCTGTTTATCCGACACGACGTTATTCGTCGGATACAATCGACTACCGCGGGCTCGAAAGTCGGCCAACAATGCTTGCACCTCTCGGCTGTCGACGTCCGTGGTCAGTCTTGCTTGAACGAACGGATGCTGCGGCTTCAATTTCAATCTCATCAACGGATTTTCATAGCCGCACAGATCCGAAGCTGCGTTGCTCGCTTTGACCTCCTTCACTTTGTCCAGAAATTGTGCGGAGTAAAAAATCTCCCTCGGGAAGAAGCTTCGTAGCACGCAATTTCTTCCTGTCTCAGTCTCCAGATACGGTATAGAAAATTTCAAGTACGGCGAAACGCTTAATATCGTGCCTTCCAAGGCTTTCTTAAATTTATTTAGCAGCGGCAAGTCGGCCACGCTTAAATGTTGACCATTCGGACTAGTTTGACTGAAGACGTCCTCCTCGTCCTCGTTTAAATACTGATGCAAAGGATCGCTTCGGTCGCTGATAGACTCTCCGCGAATTCGTTTCTCCTCTGGAACAACTTTATCTTTTATTTTTGGCTTCTCGGTTTCTTCGTCGGTCTCTTTGTTCGTTCTCTCAACAAGTCTACCGCTAAATAATCCCAATGTACTATTTGGATCTTCCACGCAGTCGGTACCATAAGTATTATTATGACTATCATTATTATGCGATGTTTTACTCGGTGCACCATCTTCTGCGGCTTTCGAATCGATTATAGAAGACTTTGTTTTCGGCTTGAATACTTTCAGAGTGTCGTAGGAATCAATGTCGTCGGATAATATAGAGGATATTTGCTTGACGGAGCTTGAGTTCAATATATTTTCACTGTATAATTGATCTGTAAATTTATCTTTCATCGGTGTGCTTCTATTGGAAGAGCTCTCAATTTCTATGATGTGTCTCGCGCCTGTCGGTGCTGTAGGGTCGTGTTCAATCGTCGATATCCTTACAATTTCTGTGTCGTCTGTGTTCTCTATACTATCATTAGCTTCGATAGACTTGGATGATATCTTATTGCTTTCCTCGATGTCTAAAGAGTCCTTCTGCGAGGTTTCGTCTAAAAATGAATTGTCTTTAGGGGACGGTGGTCTCGCGAACTCGTCCATGAGAAATGATTTTTCTAGACGCCACGAATACGCTGCGAAGATCATCGTCGAAGTCACATTCTTCACTCTCTTCAATTCTGTGTGAGTACCACCGCGCAGCAGGATCGTAGCACCAAGATGCGGATTCGCACATCCCTCGAAGTACATCAATGTTTTAACACCGTCTGGAAAATCATCAAATTCTTTATTCCATTGAGTCTGAAACGGTAAATCAGGTTCCTCGATCACTCACTTTTCTCGCTAGTAAAATTTCGCAGGTAAAACTTTTTACACGTGCCAAGCATGTATCGTGCACTTATGTGCGCATCGATGGTATTCACAATAGTTGCGCCCGTACAACGCGCGACTCTCTCCAGAACGCTTAGCTTCACGTTTAAGACAAGCGTCACGCCGCATTCTCGAAGCCGGTCTTGCGCTAATCTTGATACAGACCGATGCACGAGTACAACGTCCGGGCCAAGAGCGGTAATTCTGGCAACTGTATGACCTAAATATTCGTTTTCCTAGAAACAATATACTTTTAATGTTACGATATAAGGCAATCACGTTAATATTTATTGGAATAACTTTCTCCTCGTACTTGCAACATCACCGGCTCCAAACTCAATAACTTTCCCTCGACGCGTTGATACATAAGACCGCACTGAAGCAATAAAATTTTCGGATAAGCTATCATCGCGTTCATCCCTTTGTGCGCAACATTTTTATTACACACTGCGCCCGACACGATTTCACAGTCGTCCCTGCTACCGCCTGGACACTTTTTTATCTGAACATATTGTCGAATGTCCAAGTCGTCGACGTTATGGTTCAGATCTGGTCTTACGATGTCGACAACCTGATGCGCAATCGGAAGTATTGTTTCCGACCAAGTTTGCGACAAACCCTCTTTATTCAGCAGCTGTTTGATCAACGAATCCTCGTGTTGTTTGTACGCAGACCTACGATCAAATGTACGTAAGCTAACATTGTCGTTTCTCGATGATAAACATGCGACACTTACGTTAAACATTCGTACGTATGCAGCTCTCCAAAGGAAGTTCTAAGATTCGATGGTTTGTGCCAACCGTTTCTCTCTTTGACCTCTTGCACTTGTAGCGTCTCGTTCAACAAATCGTCGGCTATTTTCAGATTGCATTCGTGCGACTTCACCGGGTCTTCTTTTTGATCGAGTACGCTGTCGCTACTATCTACAGACAACGTAGTTAAATCTTCCGAGGTTGGTCTTTTCAATGTAACGGTAGACGATTCTAAATTGACGTCAATATAAAAACTTGAACTAGAAGATGGTAAACGTCCACTGGTCTGTTGCATTGAATTCGGGGGTTTCGTTTCGCTTTCAGAGTCTAAAATATATTATTGTCATTGACACTCGCCTTTTACACTAACAAACATAAAATATTACCTGTCGTAGAATCATGCTGTGGAATTGTTTTTACCCATGCAGGCTCTTGAGCGTCGCAGGTAGTTTGAGTTTCCGTTAATAGATCCATGCTTTGCATTTGCGACAGCGTCACTGGTTTGAACACTGTCGCGGTGTCGCTGAATACGTTATCAGCGATTACTGGCTCAATAAAACCTGCTTCGAGAAGTGCTTGTCCGATAGCAGTGGCTTGTACGCTATAAAACATTATATTTTAATATCGCATTTAAATATTTACTCCTATTATATTCTATTTGTTGTGCCTGTACCGAGTAGCTGCTTTATTCTGCGCTATCATCCAATTTACCAGCTCGCTCGCTAGGAAGCAATTGTAATAGCTCTTCAGCCTGATTCTGTGAGTTTGTAAAAGTATTGCTTGGCTTGATCTAAAGAGCTCTTCGTAGATCATCCTTAAAGAAGCCGAGTTTTGTAAAGCAAGAGAACGTTCTTGAGATGTTAAATAACTATTCGACGACCTGTAAAATATATTTATTGTATATGTTAGTTTCGCTGGTTTAAAAAGGGAAACAAAACTGGAAAGGAAACAATACCTTTCAATGGCATATTTTTCTTCCATATATCCTACGCTTGGTTTCCTACAAATCAATGTTTCATCTTCCACAGATTCATTTGCATTTGTCTGCGTAAGAAGCGGTGGATCATTTCCATATTTAACTTGTAGGTCCTCTTGCAAAGCTTTCAAATCTTCAGATAAATCGCTTCTCATATCAGAAGATTGTAGATAAGATAAAACTACTTTGCAGCAATATGTACAAACTCTTAAATCACCTACGACAAGCAGTTCGATTGCATAAAATATCTAAAAAGCGAAACAAATATTATTTGTACGTACCAGTGTATCCCATAATTTTGCCAGGAATCTGATCGCAACAGCATTTCGAACAAAATATCTGACCGCACACGCGACAGTGATGCCGTCTACGAAATGTTGTGAACCTTTCGCCGCATTCGTAACACTGCTTGCTCACGCTATCAGGCATCCAATAACTTCTCAATTGGGAATCCTTGTATGAGCGCAAGTTCTATATTAATATCAATTACATTAACTTAATTTACAACTAAAATTATGTATATTATCACCTTGAATCATCTGTAAGTGATTATATAACTCATGGAAATTAACTCACATTCCTTTCGACAGCCACTATGTTGCTAATGCGTTTCAAAACGTTGGGTAAACTTCTACCCTCGCGAGTATCTAATGGAAAGTTCATCATACTAGAGCTATCATCCTCCGGCGTTTTTTCTGTGCTCTCCGATTGTTTCCACGATTCAGAATCGGACGAGCTCTGTTCCTCTTTGGTAGACGAGACTGCGGCATCGTCAACATTTTGTGAACCTAGAAATTCATTTTCTACATAACGCAGTCCCTTCGCTGTTTCTCTAGATGTGCTATTTCGTCGCAGAAAAAATCTTACTTCTTGCAAAGCTGAAGAATTTTGAAAATAGCGAAGCTACGACTGGTTGGCTCTCCTCGGGACTTAACGGAGCGAACTCCGTAAGTTTAGACGGCGAGTTCATATTCTTATTCATTTTGACTAGTGCTATCTCCTCCTATATTCTCCGAACATCTTTTTAACACCTACATCAAAGATTCAGAACAAATAAATATTTTGGACAGAAACGTCAAACGTGTGTATGTATATCTGTTTTCATGTAATTATAAATACCGGTTTCTTACCTTGACGGAGCATTTACACTATTTTTCTTCTATAGTTACATAATCATCGTGCACTTATCATTTTCTATGGTACAATAGAAATTCGTAACAATATCTTCAATATTTCTCTCTTGACACGACCGCAGGTACGGAGGTGCATCGGGATTCGTGAAACTTATGTTTGCAGATCAAGGTGTACACCAGAGTTGTCGGTACAGATGTCGCACGATTCCATCCGTGACGTCACAGATAAGCATAAGAATCGAACCAGAGTAGGGATAGAGGAAAGCGTAGTCAACAAAACGTGGCGTGACCAATAGCAAACGTGAGAGCACTCCTGCAATTCCTGGCAACCGTGCAACAGAGTAGATTCTCCCGAACAATTTCGTACCATTGATTCAGTTCTTTTATGCTCTAATTTTGCCGATATTAATGTTTCTAGATGACCCGGCAGTAGGCAGATGTGACGCCCCTTTCGGAGAAAAAACGAAACTTCGTTCGATGTCCGTGCAGCGCCAATTACACGCTGTCGGTAACTTGGCTAACAGTTTGAGCGTTTTACCACTACCCCAATTTTCTCCAAAAGAGGCACCACATGTGCACACTACATGATCGACTGAAAACATTAATTATGACAAAATTAGAGCCTTTAAAATGAAACCGAGGGTACGAAATTGTTCGAGAGAATCTACCGCATCGATAAAAAATACATAATATTATTTATTATCACTTTAGTATTTTATATAGAATTTTATAACAGTGGTCAAGTTATTACATCGCATTTGTCGAAATTGTACGTTATCACTATTGTGGTATATCTAGTCAGTCTTTAATATTTAATATTTTGATAGTATTTGTAATTATCACAATTTCAGCGTTTCTTAATCACTTTTAATGTTCACATTATCCTCACTGTATTCGATTATAGTTTAAAAACTTTTCCATAATCACAGTTTCCTTCATTTCGATTCCTATGAAACGGTGCAACGGTATTCTGTGCGTGAACAGAGTAAACACGAGATTTTGAAATCATGCAAAAGCACGATATTATTGATCAATCCCTGAAATCGATATCACGATGTACTTGGCAATGGTTTTTCAACGTGGTATCGCTGTCTGTCTATCTATTTAAATAGAAATCCCATGCATGTCGCGTCGTAATGTTTGTACAAGCAGCGATTTGCGGACGCGTTATCAGTCAATTTCTGACGCGACGTAAAAGATCGCAGTTTCGTAGAAATGTACGTACACGATGGACGCAACAAATGAGCCGTTTATTTTGAAAGTGGCTTAAGTCGATATATTTAAACATTAAAAAATCACCACTTTTCATTACGGTAAAGTGACTTATGCCACTTTCAAAATAAACGGCTCAAATATCGAATCAAGTTTCCCACACACAGTTCCGTATATCTAACAATATCTTCAGAAAATATAATTCCGTATTAAAAATCGAACCGTTTTCATTCATCGTAATTATGCTAAGTTCTCTAAAAGATAATATTAGATAAATCAACCATTTTCAAATGATTCGGTTCGTTACAAGGCATGTATCGTCGAATCGTTAAAACTTAAATTTTTGTAAAATTAGAAAGGAAAAACATTTCCTAGAATAAAATATTTACTGCACGCATTTTCGTATTCGCATTTAAATGACACAGTTCTGCAAATGGAAGTTTATTTCGTGAATCTGAATATTTTCCAAAAAGTTGGCTGTCAAATAATCTCTAACGTTAACACCGTATATATCATCCAAAAGACTCAAAGCGTTGTTTAATAAAACAGCGACTAAACAATCAATTAATAATTAATAATAATAATATTATTATTATATAATATATTTATTATTATAATTATATATAATATAATAATAATAATAATAATATATTTATTATTATAATTATATATAATATAATAATAATAATAATATATTTATTATTATAATTATATATAATATAATAATAATAATAATATATTTATTATTATTAATTAAGAACGTATCATTCAAGAGACGAAACAGCGATCAACAAGCGTCGCCTTTACTTGACGATTCCGCCTCGAAGAACCAAAAAGCAGCCGGAATAAAATCGCCTCTAAAAAAACTCCACAAACATCTGCGAAGAGCTTCCAAAAAAATAAGAGCGAAAATTCAGGTATTCTGCGAAATTCTCTATGATTCTATGTATTTCTTCAAAACATGAAATTACGAATAAAACGCAGCCGCGATGAGATCGAACTGTGAAACGAGAACGGCCGTAAAATTAACAGGCAATCTCGTGTGTAACAAGATTAACAAAGATTTCTTATTTGTCACGGTCGAACGTTGCGATCGGTTCCGTCTTCGGCACGCGTTACTTCGCCGACAACTTCGTCAATAACCTCGTTAATAACCTCGTGTTGGTTTCCTTAGGATCGAGCGGAGATTTCCGAGGTGCGTCCATTTATCTAGAAACAGGTCGAAAATGTTCGGAACGAGAGTATTATCGATTCTGTTCGTGGCCGCAGGACGCGGCGGAGTACTTAAGTCGTTCGCGTTCGCGACATCAGAAATAGAGAACGATTCAACTGCGATTCAACCTGGTTAACGGGTCACGAGTGTATGTTCCTTGTAGCGTAACACACCGCGGCGTCGGTCCGTTGGAGCGGCGGTTCCCTAACCCCTTCGCAGCTGCGCAGGTGTACCGGCGGCACCTTCTCATTAACATCTTGCCGAAAAGGCCCAGTCACGCCAGCAGAAGGATCTGGCACGGTCGAGTCATCCTATCGATCTCCGGCGTCCTTCAACGAAGCCGGCCCTCCTGCACGGGCCTCCTCGCGTTAAGCTTCCGCTCGGGAGAAGAAAAGCAAAGCCCAGTCTCAGTGATCGACCTCTGGTGCCGGCGCGACTCGGGAGCTGATCGTCGTGCAAGAAGATGCGATGGGCGAGGGGAAGAGGGACCGTTCCGGCAAAAGGTATGCGCGCGACAGGCGAGAGGTACAACGAACCGCCGAGATTACGGGAGATTACTGGAGAAAGGCGCATCGAGTATATAAGTTCGGAGACTCGCGTGGCATCTCCGACGCCGCCTAGATGCGACGAGTCGTCCGAAACTCCGTGACTGCTCCGACGAAATCCGACGACTTTATCGTTGGTCGAATTAACGCCGCCCGGGAGACATCCGATCGGTGAAACCCGATACCGCAACCAGGTCAGATAGGGCCGACAGTTTCGCTGAGACTTTCGCGAGACCCGCTTTAAGAACAACGATTTTAGAATCAACGGCCGTGTATTGTTGAAATGAAATTATTGCGAGGATACCGAACAGTGAATTCGAATAATAATAATACTTGGCGACTGCTGTTAGAATAGATCATTTTCAGAGGAAAATGATAAAAACGAGAGAGATATTAAACGCGTTTAATATAATTATAATTAAATTAATTAATAGTAATTATTAAAATTATAATATTAATATAATTATAATTATATTAAACGCGTTATTAAATGCGTAATATTAAGTAATAATATTACCAATATTAAACGCGGGGCGATTTTTCAAATCGGAACGATCTTGATTTTCTGCGATTTTATTTTTCTCGCGAAATTAATTAAGGTAACCGAAATTCGCGGATACCGATCTTTCGAATAAAATTAACGCCGAAGTCGATTTTACTCGGCACTCTTTGCCTTCGTTTCGCCAATTTTTCAGGCAAATATTTTCACTCCGAATTTACGCGTTTTCTATCTGTCTAGCGAAATTAGTGATCGCAATTAATCCAATGAAATTTTTAACAGTCTGTTGTGTGTACCGACTGCGAAAACGTCGTCGCCCGTTTACTATGTATTCGCTCGCATCGCACCGGCGGGAAACGGATCGCGGGGTATCGAACTCACCAAGTTTAACGAACTTCTCGGCACAGACTCATCGAAATTTGCATATTAGGTTCGTGCGAAAGAAACAGCGAGTTCTGCCAGTTAACTTCGCCACCGGCCACGGTAGTTATTTATCGTTGTACGCGTTGTCGTTCGTTGAATCGTCGTGAGAATTTACTAACGAAAATAGAAATAAAACGTCAAATTCAATTTTTCATTCGCAAATTCTTCTTTTTTTTCTTCTATGAAAATATTTTGTAAACTTATAGATTTCTCAATTGCTTCTCGCATTTGTTAATTATTTGAATACTTTTTCTACTATTTGAATACTTTATCGAGGTTATGTCATACTTATCTCGATCTATTCTTCGATCGCCTTCATTTGGTAACTGTCGCTTATTGTATTTACCATGTAATATATTATTCTTAGGTTATGTTCTAGTACACTAAGTGGAACTTTATCTTGTTAAATAAATATATGGTTTCCTCGATTCCCGTGTTACGATATAAAAATCGATCGGTACACGTGCGCGTAAGAGACTCGAATATGGAAATACAGGGTGTCCCAAAAATGTCTCGCAATCCGAAAGTGGCGGGTTCCTTGGGTCCTGTCTCTTATACACATCTAGATGTGTATAAGAGACAGATCCGAAAGTGGCGGGTTCCTTGGGTCCTGTCTCTTATACACATCTAGATGTGTATAAGAGACAGATCCGAAAGTGGCGGGTTCCTTGGGTCCTGTCTCTTATACACATCTAGATGTGTATAAGAGACAGATCCGAAAGTGGCGGGTTCCTTGGGTCCTGTCTCTTATACACATCTAGATGTGTATAAGAGACAGATCCGAAAGTGGCGGGTTCCTTGGGTCCTGTCTCTTATACACATCTAGATGTGTATAAGAGACAGATCCGAAAGTGGCGGGTTCCTTGGGTCCTGTCTCTTATACACATCTAGATGTGTATAAGAGACAGATCCGAAAGTGGCGGGTTCCTTGGGTCCTGTCTCTTATACACATCTAGATGTGTATAAGAGACAGATCCGAAAGTGGCGGGTTCCTTGGGTCCTGTCTCTTATACACATCTAGATGTGTATAAGAGACAGATCCGAAAGTGGCGGGTTCCTTGGGTCCTGTCTCTTATACACATCTAGATGTGTATAAGAGACAGATCCGAAAGTGGCGGGTTCCTTGGGTCCTGTCTCTTATACACATCTAGATGTGTATAAGAGACAGATCCGAAAGTGGCGGGTTCCTTGGGTCCTGTCTCTTATACACATCTAGATGTGTATAAGAGACAGATCCGAAAGTGGCGGGTTCCTTGGGTCCTGTCTCTTATACACATCTAGATGTGTATAAGAGACAGATCCGAAAGTGGCGGGTTCCTTGGGTCCTGTCTCTTATACACATCTAGATGTGTATAAGAGACAGATCCGAAAGTGGCGGGTTCCTTGGGTCCTGTCTCTTATACACATCTAGATGTGTATAAGAGACAGATCCGAAAGTGGCGGGTTCCTTGGGTCCTGTCTCTTATACACATCTAGATGTGTATAAGAGACAGATCCGAAAGTGGCGGGTTCCTTGGGTCCTGTCTCTTATACACATCTAGATGTGTATAAGAGACAGATCCGAAAGTGGCGGGTTCCTTGGGTCCTGTCTCTTATACACATCTAGATGTGTATAAGAGACAGATCCGAAAGTGGCGGGTTCCTTGGGTCCTGTCTCTTATACACATCTAGATGTGTATAAGAGACAGATCCGAAAGTGGCGGGTTCCTTGGGTCCTGTCTCTTATACACATCTAGATGTGTATAAGAGACAGATCCGAAAGTGGCGGGTTCCTTGGGTCCTGTCTCTTATACACATCTAGATGTGTATAAGAGACAGATCCGAAAGTGGCGGGTTCCTTGGGTCCTGTCTCTTATACACATCTAGATGTGTATAAGAGACAGGAGAACATTTTTGTAAAGGAAAAAGTTGCTTCAAACGACCCGAGGAACCCGCCACTTTAGGATTGCGAGACATTTTTTATCGTTGTGATTAACGATACAAATTATTATTCGCGAAAAATCACGATCCTTAATTTAATTTTAATTCCCGTCCGCCGTTAGCCGGTGCTGACCTTAGAAACGAATTCCGATATCAGTCGGGTTTCCGGATATGGAAATTGGATGGTATGCCTGCCGATGGCAATGTAAATTTACGGTAGTCAGGGACACGTGCTTTTACGGAGATCGAAACGACAATCACGGAAGGAAGATAAATTCGCGACGTTTTCTAAAATTAAAGCTGCAGAAACGGGTTTCACCCGTAATTGGTACCAATATCGCGGAAAGCTTCGCGATCTTTCTATTATTATCGTATTCGCGATCGATCCGGGGCTCCGAAGCCACTACCGTTTATTGGATTACAAGCCGAACTGTCTCGGCTCTTTTCATTAAGTAATTGTAAAGAATTAGGGGCAACAAGCATCCACCGCGAACGAATATTGACAGTATCTGCCGATAAATTTTGAATCGAGGTTTAATTTCCTGTACGATTTTTAAGAGCACCTTCTCGGGCCTCGGTGATTTATCATCGAAACGAAAGGTTAAGTGCTCGAGCGTAGCGTCTTCGATATGTTTAAAAGCGCTGCCATACTACTCTCCAACCATAACGAGCCTCGACCTTTTTTTGTGTCTAGGTTAAAGCAGCGCTTCCAACGAAATTTCAAGGTTATATTTAATTATACTGGACCTGCGTATCTTCGATTTAATTAATTGAAACATAAAATACCGCTGTACAGGGCGGTGCGAATAATTATAGACTCGATGTACACTTTTACGATTTTACCGATGTTTAAACAAAAAGTTAACGAAACATCGTATTTGCACATTTACATAATAATAGCAAATTATTTGATAATAGAAAAGTATTTGCTTAAATGTCAGTAAAAGCGTAAAAGTTACATTTTGCGTCGAAAATTTTGTCCTAGTTTGTTTTATCGGTGACTCGATCGACGGTGCTGAAAATTTCATCGAAATTAGGTAACCCTGTCACGGGTTATGAACGGTTGAAAGTGAAACCGTATGCGAGAATCACGACTCGAGTCTAATTATTCTCGCAACTTTCAATGCTCTTCGCTTGTTCCCGCATCGATCGATATCGATGAAATTTTCAGCAGCCGTACGTCTGACATAGACCTCCGGAACGTATTTTTTTTAAATTTTTATTAACCCTAGTCTGCCACGGGCATCTATAGGCTCCTTCGAAAACTTGTTTGCGATGTGTTGTCGGCGTCGACAGACGCCCGAGCATGTTTCGACGAACTTCCGGCAGCGGATCTTCTCGGGAACGTATGTAACACAATTTGTTTATTATACAAAATTATTAAGTGTAAATCCGTGGAATGCACACCAAAACGAAACGTTTGGTCGTTCGCGAGTGGACATCGAAGGGCGCAGATAAAAAGCGTGAAAATATCCGGGCCACCGTTCTCTTCGAAATTCCGTGAAATACAATTTTCTGAAAAAACTTCGTGTACGGCCGTCGGTCGTACCTGGTAAACCGATTCTTCCGATGTTCGAATGAGCTCGTTCTCGCTGCGAAAGGTGCACGAGGACATAACCTGTGTATCCGGCGAGAAGGTGGCTGCGAACGAGAGAATTATAAATGGAGCGGCGAAAGAGCAAAACATCTTAGAATGACCAAAAGGAGGTTATGTCAGGGAGGAGTTTTTCAACACGTGGCGAGGACGCTGCTTCTTCGAGGTGGGTGATCGTGCGCGACTCACGACCGGTTTATAAAGTACGTACGATCGAATGCGAGTCGCGGACAACAGTCGAAAGTCCTCGAAACTCGGCGAATAATCGTTTCCCGTCGAAAGCTTCGTTTTCAAGCATTTTTCCGACGATATTGGAATGCGTCGATCGTAGACTATAATATATAAAATATTAATTATTAATATATAATATTAAATATATATATTAAATTAATATATATTATTAATATATAAAATATTACGTATAACATCGAAACAACAATCGACCGTTAACCTCTTGCCGCAATTCGATGAGTCTAATTCGCGACGGTGATTTCTAAAAAGTCAAAATTCTGTTTTCCTGCCGCCATTGTTTTCTCGCCCGTGCAAACGTAAGCACGCGACGAAGATAAATTTTCTTTTTCGTCGGAGGCACCGTTAACGAGTTATCAACGGAAAATAGTGACCAATAAGAATCGAGTACGGCTGACGCGAGACGGCCCAGCCGACCAGCGCGCAAAGCTCGGTTCCGTTCATTGGCTCGGTCGCCTCGCGCCAGCCGAGCTCGCCTCTCATTGGTCACTGTTTCTCGTTGATAACTCGTTAACGGTGCCTCGGAGATCATTTTTGTAAAGGAAAAAGTTGCTTCGAATGACCGGAGGAACCCGCCACTGTTGGATTGCGAGACATTTTTGGGATACCCTGTACAATGAAAGCGGTGACCATTTTAAGTTTAAAAAATGAACAAAAACGAACGAACGAATGAATTTTTAAGTCGAAGTGGACTCGAATGTGAACGTTGTTTTGCGATCATTGCATTCGAATTTTTGACGCGTTTTGGATTTTCGATCACTGCACTCCGTTGACATAATCACGCGTGCGTATTATACATAATATTATCAATTATCGTGCGTTATTGTGTAGCGGTATTATACGATATTATTCGTAATAAATGTATGCATACGAGAACGCGGGACGAAGATTTGCTTGGCAGCGGGGGCGCGTCGGGAATTTGTCGCGAACATGATGAACGGAAATTAGGGTCACCGGGGCGCGACGCGACGCGACGGTTGAATCTCCCTTGGCGCGATGGTCGTGCCCCGGCCGTGATAATTCGGCGCACGAACGATCTCGAATAAGAACCACCAGGCCACGAGGTCTCGTGACTTTAGTCGCCATTCGCGGCTCGGTTCAGGCGAGATTGAAAAGGGAAACGCGGCTTGGTTGCGATTGCCGGCCGCGATTGCCGCCGGGCACGATCTCCCTCGCGACGCAACATACATATGTAAATGCAAATATACGTAAAACGAGAGAGAGAGCGAGAGAGACAGAGAGAGCGAGCGAGAGAGAGAACGTCCCCCTGTTCGATGATTGATCGCGATAAATAGTCGATAATAGACTCTTCAACGGTAATTTTCCGTTTCGCCGGTCTATCGAGCGCCGATTATTGCGAAACCGTTCGCGAAATCAGAACGAAATACTTTCACCGCGTTGTCGCTGCGAGCGATGTTACATTACACACGCAATGATAAGTCAATTTCTCATGAACGCATAATAACTGTATACATTTTTCTCAATTTATAACTCGACGTTATTGCTGAATTTTGACACGACTTAATTTTAACAGACATTTCTCAACAAAATAAGAATATAAATCAATGTGTAACTTAAAATGGAAATTTCAATTTCATCCGGTTCCCTCGAGAAACTGACTTTACACCGCTATCATTCTTCCGTTCTTGTTACGATACGTGTTGCAACAAATTTCTTGTTATTATTGTCGCT